AACTTACCAGAATATAGATTTTTCCATCATCCCCTTTTACAGTGAATCTAAATGTGCTTTTAGCAGAGGACAATTCCATAAGACACTGAGCAATGATGCTCTGTACGAACTGAGACCTGTTTAAGAATTAACCACGAATTATATGTTTTCATAACAACCACATGGGCAAAGTCATTCATATCGATGCAGTACAAGTATATGAGTACCTCCACACTGCCAATTCCACTATATCCTACAACCGCTTTTTACTGAGAGATGCGGCTTTATCTTTCTTTCCCTCAAAATTAGAGGGCTTTCTATTTTCTGCAACAGGAATTTTTTTATAGATCAGCAGTCTCAATCACTTCACATCCTTTATTTTGACCAACACCAAATGTCAAATGCTGAATAAAAGCTTCTCCTTACTCTGTTTTACACATATGAACACAAAGTTCAGAATGATGCATATATTTCAAATATAAAAAGGAAATAGCTGTGACTAACACATAGTACATGATACAAGAGAGCTAGACCAAGTTCTGGTTCAACTTAGTCTTAGCTTCAAACCGAATTACCTGAAAATTCAAAAAATCTCACTTCCAATTAAATGTTCCAGGCTTTACTTAATTTAACTTTACATAATGTAACCTTCAATTTCCATAATTAGTCATCAGACATCATGCAAATTTAAATAGTTCAAAATAAGTAAGTATTGTATTTTGGCTTATCACCTGAATAATGAGACACTATACAAAGACACTATGCTTGTGACAAACGATACAAAATCTCTCTCCTGCGTCACACACAAACACACACAAAGACAAGCAAACAAAACTGTACAAGTGAATTCAGACTACAACACCTTTACAATGCTTAATTCTCTGATGATTACATAAAAATTGACAGCATTTTGTTATTATATGTAATTATTCAAGAAACTAAAATGCTAGTGCATTTTTAGCCTCCTTTCTAAAACATAAACCTGAGCAAATTATCTGGGTTCTTTTATTATTTTTATTTGTTACCTTGGTGTTGGGCTGAAACTTCCCTCAGATGGTTGAATAATCACCTCGGTGACATAATATTTAATGGTATCTAAAATGACAAAAACATTTTTCAAGTACAACAAAACAACCTACTTGTTAAGAGTAGACTGTAAGTCACCATATCACTATACTAATTAAACTTTTGTTCAGCACTCAATTAAGAGGTGCAGCAGACAGTCAAATTCTGCTTTGGCTTGTGGCAGGAGAAGCAACTAATAACAGAAAACATACATTGCCAGAAGACAACTGCTCTGAGCTAATTACATGATCAGCAATTTGTCATTCATATTGATCCTTGTTTAAAGCTGGGAACAATCATCTTGAAACAAAGCAAGAACTCAAGCCAAACCTGAAAGATGAATTGAAAGAACTTTCCTAAAGCACTGAGATCAGCATAGCTTACATAAGTATTTTAGTACCCTCTGCTGCTCAGTAATGCTGCAGTGAATCACAAGAGACAGTTTTAATAACACCACACACAGGGGAATAATTTTCTTCTTTGCTCAAAGAGCAGAATAGAACTTTCCAAAAATCTCACTAACTCAACACTAAAACTGCATACATTCCAAGTTTCAGTGTAACTGTTTCCGAAAAGCTCCACTAAGGCAGCCTTTAACACTAAATGGAAGTGTTTTGAGTACAGAATTTAATCCCCATCAATAAAGTCAGATCAAAGATGATCATACTGAAGCTCTAGGTTTACGCGACAAACACAGCCTAACCAGAGGGCCAGCAGAACAGGTTATGCATATAGAGTAACATACTCATTCCACTAAGCCTTAGCATGTGAACAGCAGCAAAGATTCATCAGTTCCATAAATTTTAATGATGGAAGGGATTGTCTCATCTGATCTCTGTCCACATACACCATTAAAACTGGATGAAAGCAAGATTCTGTGATTTCAGGAAGACTCTTAACCTTTAAAGATTCCAAAGGCTTGGTAATGCCATCCCTTCTCCGGGTAAGTACTACACTTTTTAAATTATCCTCACTGTTAGGAAATCATATTTTACCTCTAAGTTTAATTTTAGTCTGCTCCACGCTGTGCCTAGTCCTGGGAGACAGGAGGAAAATAAGCCAGTTCAGTCATTCTAGCTCCCCAGCTGTTACCCTCAGTAAGGAACTGGTGCTACTGCTGTGAGGGCATTGGGAATTAAGGAGATGTTTCCTTGCAGAGAGACAGAAGGTGGGATTTCCCCAGAAAAAATTGTATAAGTATATGGGGACAGAGTTGGGGGAAGGAATAGTCGACAGAGGAGTTTCAAGTCAAATCTGGCCTCCACAACTATGCCACTCTAATCCAGCTTTATCTTCAAGGCACTGTCATCTGCTGATGAGGAAGCACTAATGCATGACAGTCAAGTCCGCTCTCTAGTCTCTTTTCACAGAGATGGTTCTGTCTTGACTTAAACCATACACCTCTGGTTAGTTTTTTTGTCTGTTCTTTGAACTTTATGTAAACTTCCTACAGCACTGAAGAAACATGGCCAAAACAAAGGACATGCTATCTAAATTCAGCCATGTACAGAATCCAGACCAAATCGCTGCACATCTATACAGTATTTATAGCACATGTATACAGTATCTATAGCCACTGATCACATCAATTAACGGTTGCTACAACCATCTGAAGGCTTAGATTAAGGCATCCATTATTCACGATGTCCTGTGAAGCTCTTTTCCAACCACTGCTTTCCCTAAGTCACAATTTGCTTTGTGGGCTTTCAAACATCTTACCTTAAATTTGGTTTTATTAAAGCCTGTACTGTACAGATCCCTGTACAGGACAATGGGAACCTTCTGTCTTGTGTCTCCTCATGACTTACTTCTTAAACAGGCTTTGCATCTTCTGAGAAGTTTTTATATTCTCCAGATCTCTGAACTGAGACAGGCTCACACTGACTATTGCAGTGGAGTAGAGGGAGAATGAAAGAATGAACCCTGCTAGTAACAGTCTTATCATTGCTTCTCTCCTGTTAATAACTGCATTTTAAAAACCACCAGAGACTCATCTTTACACTGCTTCAGGTAAACCCTGCTGATTCAATATAACGACAGCTTTTAAACCAATAATCTCATCATCTCATCATCGCATGATGATGAGAGATAACCTATTTCTTTGACAAGGATTCCTTTCCATGAAACCAGGCTGGCTGTTACCTATCATATCTTTAGCTTCTAGTTCTGTATTGATCAAGTTCTGAATCAACTTTTCCATTACTCTGTAGGACTGATGGCAAAATAAACAACCTGTAATTTCTCCTTTTTTACTGAGATTCCTAGTAAACTGGAATCATCCATTGAGTCTTCCAAAGCTTTGGAATTAGCCAAATACACCACAGAAACATGGATGAGGAAAATCCCTGTCGTAAGACACTTTCAAGGTGTAAGAGTGGAAACAACAACCTCATCTGAACAGTGAGGTGGACTGAGAACTGGCTGAAGGACAGAGCTCAGAGAGTTGTGACCAGCGGTGCTGAGTCCAGCTGCAGGCCTGTAACTAGTGGTGTTCCCCAGGGGTCAGTACTGGCTCCAGTCTTATTCAATATATTCATCAATGACCTGGATGAAGGGACAGAGCGCACCCTCAGCAAGTTTGCTGAAGATACAAAACTGGGAGGGGTGGCTGACACGCCAGAAGGCTGTGCTGCCACTCAGCAAGACCTGGACAGGCTGGAGAGCTGTGCAGAGAGGAACGTAATGATGTTCAACA